AAAAGTACCAAAATAATGGGAAATTTTTGTCCCAAAAGCAGTCCAACAAACTGGAGGGGTGAAAAGTTTCAGATCTCAGGAAACTCTGCATGATTTATGAAAGATTTTAAAGTATTGTTACACAAAGTAAGGTCTCAGGATAAGGGGAACCTTGATTGGGGTCCCATCAGCAGAAACCCTGTGAGAAATGTGAAATCTGCATTTTTAACAACATCCTCGGGTGATCTGTATGCACAATCAAATTTGAGAACTCTGGTCCAAAGGTATGAGACCAACTTAATATTGCTAAAAGAAAATATTGTCTAGAATTATTCTTCCCCTTCTTGCCAATCATCCAAATCCAAATGAAGGTCCAATTTAACAAAATATAGAGGGAAACCTTACAACAGTATTCATTAAAAAGAGGAGAATACCTTGAGCACTTGAACTTGACCTTCTGTAGTAATTTCCTTTAGCAGTTCACAAAAGGACTGACATAGACCCACTGCATATGTCTGAAATTCAATGAAAAGTCAAAATATACAGATGAATGTATCTGCAATATCAAAAAAGGCATAAAATTCATTTTGGAGGGGGTGGGTATAGCTCAGTGGTAGAGCGCATGCATGAGGTCCTGGGTTCAATCCCAGTACCTCCATTAAAAAAAAAAATTCAATTTGGGACTCATTATAATCTATTTGAGAATTAGATACTAAAGTTCTAAGCATATAAAGTTTCAATTAGAATGCTTTAGGAAAAATTTTAAAAATAAAAATGCGGCTTATTGCTTTTCTGGTTTTTACAGAAATATTAGGATATATTTATTTGTACAGCATATTTTCTATATTAAATAACATAATTAATGAAACTGTATCACACCTGTCCTGTAATGGGCAATGCTTATAAAGTGTCCCCCTTCTTTAAAGTAACAGATTGATCTTTTAGATTTTGAAAAGGTACCTCCTGACTTCAAATAAGAAACAATAAAAATAATAACTACATGAATTTTTACAACACAAAAACTACTACAACATACCTGTAAAAATTCTGTTGATGATAAAAAGATATAACCATTGATGATCTTAAAGCAGGTTCTGAGATTTTCTGAACTTAATTCTGCCAAAATAATAAATTTTTTTAAAAAGGATAAATTATTTCATTGTTTAAAAATTACTTTAAGTGAAGTGATTTATTTAAAGGTAAGTTACATGCTCTTTACAAATCTTTTCCGAATGCTATTCAGACTCCTAGTATACAGATATCTATCTAAAAAACTGGCATTAACCTATACATTAATGCTTTCCCTTATATTTCCCACTAGTTAAAACAATTTAGAAAATATTTAGCTCCCTTTTTTTTCCTTTCAGAAAATAACTACATGACTCACCCTTTCATTTCAAATTAAACTTCTAGTACCAGTATGGCAAACAACATGCAACTGAATCATTTTACCATCCTATTTTGACATCTACTTAAATGGGTTCACTCAATTCACTCAATAAGCATCTACTGAGTGTCTACTGTGCTGGCACTGAACATGCTACCCTACTTATGAAGAGTCCTTATTAAATGCCAAAAATTATACCACGTTTAGATACTCTCAATCCTTGTGCTTTGTTCTTCAGATCTGCTCCCCTATTAAAAATTTACACATAAAAATGTTCTTTAAAATGTCATCACCAGAATAGTATTGGAAAAGGATATTATTTTTAGCTATTCCTTTTCAAGTACAAAGTAGAAAACTATTTCATTAAATATGATCAAATGTTTATGCAGTGTTTTTTACATGTCTTATCACATACAATAGAACACAGATTTTATGTATAAAATTATACAGCTCAAAACATGACCTTAAAATAACATCTATATCTAAAACCTTTCATTCTGTACTGCTAATACTTTAGAAATTATATTCACTTGCAATAGGACAGGTGAAAAAAATTCTTCCCAGTAAATACTGGTCTAGGCGATAGGTTCTTATTTAACTCATATCCTAGCAAAGTGAAAAGACACTCTACTCAGATGAGTATTTCTCATAAACTTTCACAGGAAAATGATAATCATACCCTAAGTTCAAAATATGTTTTAAAGGTATTAGTTCTATACTTTCAGGTTTAATAAATGAGACAGAGACTAACCAACTTGTCACCATGCAAATGAAAGATATTTTAGAAAAAAGGCTGTCATCTAAATATTTTCCACAACAGAATTATGCCAAAAAACTCAGACTAAAGGGGTAGACCATTGTATTGGATAAAGTTATCCTTGTGAAAAATTCACATTGTTCTTTTCTTCTCAAAGAGAAAGTCAAGTCTGCACTTGTGCACATACAATGTTTGGCAGACCAACACTGAACAGCAGACTGGCAGTCACTGTGATAAGTAAGGCAGAAGGGTTCTACATTTAAGTGAGAACTTAGAATAGCTACATTCCAGATATGTCCAATGTCTAACTCACTGTCATCTAAAACTTTATCAAGATCTATGAAGAAGGAAACAATATTTAAGAAGGACTGATTTTAAAAACCATAGTGCTTATTTCTTCTTACAGATATTTTAAAAGTTATCTCTGGATCAGTTTATACAAGGAAATACTCAAGGGATTAGGTCACTTCATACTGCTTTTCATGTCTCCATCATGCCAAGGATAGCTTTTACTAAATTTCCTAGAGCATGGTATCACTGGCAATTATTAAATACTAATAGTAAAAACAGTCTTAAAATTAATAAATATATCTATTTTAAGGTATATTGAACACTTCATTATATTCATGAGTTCCTCGTAAGACTCTGAAGAAAAATTATTGTCTGGTCCTAGTATCAGAAGGAGCTGTACTTTAACCATGCAACAGAGCTGTATTTATTTTTAGGCCCTGTGAATAATTTAATTCAAATGTTAATCATGGGTAATTATGCCCCCTAGAGGACATCTGGCGATGTCTGGAAACTTTGGTTGTTAAAACTAGCACCTAGTAGGTTGAGGCTAAGGATGTTACTAAGCTTCCTACAGTGCACTAGACAGACCCTCACAACAAAGAATTACCTGGCCCAAAATGTCAACAATGTCTGACCTGAAAATCCCTAATTTAAGTGATTGAGTTTTTCTTTCAAAGAGAGCTCTGACAACTCTATGGCCAAAGTATCTAGTTATGCTATGTGTACATATGACTTTTATCTGTTAGTCTAATTAAAATTTATATTCCATTCCTCTTTGTTTTTCTCTATTCTTTTACTTCTATTTTTATTCCGTACTTTCATGTTACATTTTATTTATTCTTTTATGTTTCCATAAAGGGAACAAAGAGGAAAAATTACTGAATTATGTTATAGATTCAGTAGAAATCTATGTTCAATCATATTACTTATGTCTGGAAATGAAACTATAATAGTTTCTTCTTTTATTTTAATCTCTCAGAAAGCTAAATGTGTAAGATACCCTACATCATCATGAAGGCAGGTGGGAAAAGTTCCTTCCAAATTAGACAAGAAGTTACTGGCAGAAAAATTTAATCGGTCAAGGAACATTAGTTTGGCACTTAACAACAACACGGAAAAAGCCAGTCAAATGTTTACGTTTCAAGTAATGAGAATACTAAGAAAATTAACACCATAAAAAAGATTTAAAGTATTTTAGAAACAAGTCTTTGGAACAAAATTATCAGAAATACTTGTACTTATAGCCTCTGGTTCTACTTAAAATACTCCAGTTCTACTTACATTTGGAAAAAAGGATATAAAATGAATTCTAGTCTTGAATTTACTCATATTTAATTAACATATTCTAAAAATGGTTAAGTTAAACATCAGTATTGTTGGTTTTATGTGTTTTAAATGAAAATGAGAAACTTCTTGCCAGGAGCTTTATTTCTGCTTAAGAAATAGCTATCTATTCATTAAATAAATTTTTAAAGTTCACTGATATAACAAGAAAGGTGTTTTCACTGTTAAGAAAAGTGAATATCCAGTTTGATCTATATTCTTAAAAGGTTAAAATAAATATTATGGTTATATCTCAAATTTTAAAGCTCACCTGAAAGGAGGTATATGCAAAAGCCACATGTCAAACAATATTAATTAGCTGTACAATACTCAAGCAAAAATAAGGTAATACTGATACCAAGGTATACTAAGTGTGACAGAAATAATCTGTAAACAGAATTCTTCATATTCAGAAACAGAAATTCTTCATAAGCAAATATAAATACCACCATGCATAAAACAAATTTTCTATAATCCTTTTTGTTTTCAAAGACAAAAGTAGGGAATACATAATTCAAGAGCACCCATATTATCTATATTCACTGACACTACTAATAAAATATGGAACTTTTAAAAATCTTTGAAAGTTAAAAAAGTCTAAATCAAATATTAATTATCACAGAAAGAAATTTCACTAGTTCTTGATTCAGTTAACTAACAAATCCTACAGAGCCAGTGGCTGGGTACTTTTTCTTTTAGAATAGCAATAATGTTAATAGTAATAGTAGTAGTAGTAATAAATATAATTATAAAACACTTAAATAATGCTTACTATGTGCCAGCTATTGTTCTAAACACATGACAGTCCTTTTTGATTTGTTGACTACAGTTGCATTTGGTTGACCACAGCTCCTGTAGAGAATGTGGGAGTCTGGTGTGTGTCCTGGGGCAGGACGGGGAGAGAGAAGCCCATGCCGGGGACAAGCTCAGCCAGGACTATGCATCACCTGCAAAGCTTTCTATGGTAAAGCTGTAAAATAGAACCTATCTAAATCCACCATCACAGTAGTATCATAAGGTTACAGTAGGATTGGTCATGTGCTTTTTTCAGTTTCTTCTTCCTGGCTACCAATCCTCTCTCCCACTACCTCGTAAAGTCTAGGTATGCTGAATTTGGGGTAGAATACAAGGGTGAAGTGAAATTACCATGTGAAGCCATCTATATGTGAAAAGCCTGAATCATGTTTATGACAAAGTTGATAATGGGTCTAGCTGAGGTTTCCATTCTCAGGTCAAGTATAAGGAAGCACTGTGGATTATCCAGAATGTTACCATATATGATCTCCAAGTTAGGCAGAATAGAACTAGAAGGCCTTCAGATAGTAAAGGAAAGTGAAAACGATTTTTCCTATCCTCAATGCAAAACTTTTCCTAGGAGACTGGCAATAAGTGATTGGTTTATTGCCACTGTCTTCATCTTTTAAAAAATTACCCATCATTTTATGGGGATACTAGATGATAAACATCAAATGGCTTTTTATTAGAAAACAGATGGTATCTTTGTATTATTTGAGGTCTTATTTATTCTGAAGAACAGGGTAGAAGAATTTTAAAAACCTCCGAAAACAGGAGGGACTAATTACAATATCTAGCCCCCATGGTCATCCAGCAAATGAAGAGAGATGTTTTTTAAATCAGTTGTAATTATGTCTTAGTCCATACCTGTTTAAATTGTCAAGAGTGAGACTATTTTTCTGGTGTGTCATTAAACCTCAGTAATATTTTTCCTCTAACAAAGCTGCTCACTACAAATAAGTCCTCAGAGAAAAATAGTCTTCAGATATTACCATAATAAGTATGCCTTCTCGCCCAGTGTTTTCTTACAAAAATGCCCTCTCCTGACAATACTAAACTATTCAGTTAGTATATACAAAGTTCTAATGAAAGATTTAAAGATGCTTTATGTGTGTGTCTTGAAGAGTGGGACTCCAAATGGAAAAAGCTTAAATGGCACTGCATACAATTCTTAAACTCTATGAGGTTGAAATGTGATTCTGCACTGTAAAATCCCTCACAAAATAGTAACTCTATAAACAAAAATTTTTTTTAATTTAAGATATTACATACTTTTGGATGATAGCTAATATGTAACAGAAAAGTACAGATTTTCTATTATTAATTGCCATCAGAATACACGTTCAGATTGGCAAAAAGGAATCTAACTAGTTATCATTCATGGTGGCTAAAAGAGACTAAGAGCCTACTCTCAGCACAGTGTCCAGTTCTCTGGTTTCATGTGCCAAAAGTGCTGCTGATTTCAAGCTCATACATAGGTAATACCTCAACAAACAATAAATGATTCTGTTAATATTTAATAATCTTTATTTTGGTGGTCCGTTAGCTAAATCAGAAATATGTACAGAGCTCCTCTGTAAACAACTGATAGCAGAAGACCATTTGTAAAAGAAGCTGGACAAAACCATGGTACACAGAAGCAGTTTTACAATATAAGTAAAGCCTTTTAAATACTTTACAGAACTGCTATCAAACATAGAAATTTTACCATGTAAAATTCAAACTTAATCTGTAATTAGTTTCCTAAGAGCTTTTTTGAGTTTCTATTTAGTGATTTAGTAACTTTAGTGTTTGTTTTTATTTAATATGTAGAAATAGTTCTAAAAAGTTATACCATAGGAAAAAAATCCAGGAACTATTAAAATGCTATCCAACTTATTTCTCGAAATCAGAGGCTTTAGTTAAAAACAGAAGGTATAATTTATAGTCACCTATAATGTCCAGAATAATAGTTGCATTCAAAAACAGTAGTAAGTTTATGCTTTACTACATACCAAGAAGTGGTGACATATTCTGAAATATACGAAGCAACTCTGGTGTAACACATGGGCTATTTTCCAAAGTCACTAACCTAGGAAGGGAAAACAGATGATTAAATCACTTTCCACAACCATTAAAACTTTTAACAACACACCTTATGTATAAAAAAAAACTGTTCAATTTAAAGAAGAAAATTGGACAATATAGTTATAAAGATTATCCTTCTAGTAAAAAAATTACCAAATTCATCAAAATTAAAACCTACCTACAAATTATGTATGATTTCTATATACACAGCAAAAATCAGCAAGTAACTACTTATTAGAATACATACAATAAAATTACAATGATGAAGCAAAAACATGATTATTTTGAATTGGTCAAGGAAAGAGAAGTTTTTTTTCAGGTGTTCAATAAAAGCAATTGAATGAACTGCCACTGTTCAATTCTTCAAACCACTGATGAACTGGCAAGTGTCTAAGGAGCACCCACTCGGTGCCTTGCCCTTTCTGGTGTCCTGGCTTGTGCCCAGTCTCTCTTGAATTAAGGTGGAAGAGGATGAGCTATTCTGATGTTTTTATTTTCTTGATATATTCATTTGTCACATGTAATTGATCAGTCCCTTCAACAAGACACTGGGCTAGTGAATTAGTAAACAATTTATGCTAAATGTTTAATAAATATGAACTTAGTAAAACTTAATAAAGATGAACAAAGGCCAATGATAAGCCAATCTTACTCACAGTATCAGCAATCTAAAGCAACTGTTTTATAAAAAGTAAAATATGGGTTGTGCTTTATCACCTAAGTGTGTAGTTGGTTTACCTCTTCAACCCCCACTAAAGAAGCTAAAAAAGAAAAAAATGATCATCACAAAATCTACAAGAAGCCAAGGGTGGGGCTGGGGGAAGAATCCAATTCTAAATCTAACACTTACTACAAAATCTCTTATCCAAATATAAATAGAAAGGAACTTCCTTAACCTGGTATGACAGACTACCTACCAAATACTCATAGGAAACACACCTGGTGATGATATGCTGAAACCATTCTCTAGAAAAACAGAAGCACACCTCAAAGAACATTCCCTATTACTTTGTCTACCTTCGTATCTACTGAGTCTATGTATGAAGGACCTCTCACATGGTATGCCAAGTAAGTTAATAAAAAATACAAGGGCAGGAGACGAAAAAATTACCTAGTCCTTATTCACAGAAGCTATGACTGATAGGAAAAATAAAACAGAAGAAAGAATTCATAAACAAAGTATGTGAATTACTAAGAGAGTTCAGTAAGGTTACTGAATATATCAATGTACAAAAATCAATTGAATTTCTACACACCAAACACACAATGAATTTAAATGCATGGTGTTTTAAGAGTCCTCATATAAAAACCTATCATCATAAAGATGCCTCCTTAAATTGTTATACAGAATCAACTATTCTTGAACTCAAATCCCTACACTGTTTTCCCTGGAAATATAACAAGCTGATTCTAAAATTATGTGAAAGGCAAATGACCAAGAATAGGCAAGAAATTTCTCAAAAAAAACAAAAAAGTATGGAGGAGGGATTCGGGGAGATACTTGCCTTACTAGATATTATGACTTACTATACAACCACTGTCGTTAGTCTCCACTAATTAGATTACTAGTAATTAGTAATTCTAGTAATTACTAATTAATTCTAGTACTAATAACTAGTAATTACTAATCTACTGTAATTAGAATTAAAATCATATACAGAATAGAAAGTACAAGAAACAGACTTTTTCATATATGATAGAAGAGGCTCCAATGGTCAGGAAGCAAAGTTTTCAGGGGTGAGAAACCAGACCTCTATCCCATACAAAATACAGAAATTAATTCCAGGACTTGTATGAAAAGAGTAAGGCTTTACTTTACAAGATGTCACAAGACTTTTATGTCTTTAGATTAGAAAAAAATTCAAGAAAAAGCCTGAGAAATACAACTACTTTAAAGTTAACAATTACTATGTATAAAAGATGCCTCAAAAAAGTTAAAACGCAAGTCATATACTGGGAGAAGACTGCTTGCAATATATATAACTGACAAAGGAATAGTGTCCAAAGAAATAATATCCAAAAAATAGTCAATAAAAGGAAAATGAACAGAACAAATGAACAAATATTTTGCAGAAAAAGATTAAAAAATTGGCATTAAGTTTGACTATAAAAAATATAAAAAGATATCCAATTTGACTAGCAATCAAGAAAATATAAATTATAACCAAAACAAGGTACAATTTTACCCTCAACAGATTAGCAGAACTTTACGCGTGACATATCATGTATTGGCAAAGCTACGTAACAGTGGAAACTCTTGTGACTGCCGACAGCAGTACCAGTTGATACAATCACTTTTGGAAATAATTAGTATATGATAAAGCTGAATACATATTACCTAGCACCATTTCTAGGTAGAAATGTATATAGGCATAAGGTCTTATACATTTGGGCTAGGAGTTGTGTGAGAATGTTCACAGTTGGATTATTTGAACATCAAACAAAATGGCAAATGAGTAAATGAATTGTTAGTCATACTATTAAACTTATCAATACAGATGAAATCTCAAAACAGGAAGCAAAAAAAGTAAGTTAGAAAACATATGATACAATTTATATAAAGTTAAAACATACTGTTTAAAGATACACACACCTACCTGATTTAAAAAATATTAAAATACAAGAAAGAAAATCAAAGAATGAAAAGAAAAAAAAAAAATCAGTAGGTGGGTTATCCCTGGCATGGAAACAGGAGGATTCAAAAACATGCCACACCATGGATTTCACAGACATTCTTGTTCCATTTCTTACTCAGAGTACAGAAAATGGATTTTCATTTTATACAAGTTATCAATAATTATAAACAATGTTATCTCCATATTATTTTGCATCTATGAAGTATTTTGCTTTTTAAATGGCAAAATCGGGAGATCTGGGCAGGGGATTACACAGGGGAAACTAACCACCCCCAAAATGAAGTACTTCCCAACATGCACAAGGAATGGTATCTTTAGACATCTTAACCTGGTCAATAATAACAGAATTTGATTCCACTTTAAAGAATAAAACTTCAAGAAAGATTTTTTAGAACTTTTTATCCTATTCACTCTTAAAATAATTATGAAACTAAAAGAAAAACTACAACAGTCACAAGATTTCACTGAGAAAAAAAACTGGAGGACAAATCCTAAATGCCAGAAGATGTTTTTAAAAAACTCTTTTTGTCAGTGGGTCCAGATTAACACTCTCTGAAGCTTGTTCCTTCCCTCTCACTGTCACAATCTTAGTAAAAAGGACACTCGGGTCACTGTCACTCTCATTTACTATGCTAGCTTCCAGAGCATAAACTATGCTATTCAAAAGAGGAAAAAACCTTGAAGACTTTAAACTAGTGAAAAATAAAATTGAAATGGTATGTAGTTCCAGATTAATAACAAATTCCAGATTAATAAATAAAGATTTGGAAAAGAAAGAAAGTGAGATAAACAAAATCAAAGCACTAAATTCTCTACCATATTACGGAAAGGAAAAAGTTACTGTTTTGATGAATGATTAGACAAAGCTGTATGTATCAACACCTCTGACTAGAGAAAGGTAAAATTTAAAGTTATCCTTCCATAAGAAAATGCAGAAAAGAGAGACCATAAAGTAAAAGACAGACATAAATAAATATAAGATCAATAAAATTCTTTTGAAGTAAAACATCTTTGGTTAGGTTAAAATATAAAATTTTAAATTTGCTCAGTATAGAATACATAACTAAATTTCAAACCAAAAGGCTGAAATGTAAAAGATGAATGAAATAGTTAAGTCAAATCTAAAACTATATGACAATATTTATATCAGATAAAATTTAAATGCAGAAGAATTAAAAGGTGGAATTAAAAAGTGGAAAATTAACCACTGCATACATTATTATATCACATAATTCTTCATTAAAGAATTTAAATACCATATTTTATTAAATCTTATAACAATGTAAAAAAGTACCAAAATTTTGTGCAGTGAATTTTTTTTTAAATTACAGATCAAAAATGCTAGAAATAAAAAAGGACACTGACATGAAGAAAATTGATTGGGGTATTTCAATAAATCAGTGTCAAGATGAAAAAGCAAAATAATGTGAACTAACAACCAACAAGTTGAAAAGAATAGATATACATGAAAGTCTGCATCTTTGATATCATTATTATTCATGTGACTATATTACAGAAATAGATCCTACAATAAGTCATTAAAATTCACACTAAGTTTAAGAAAACTGCGTAAGTAACATGTTGTATTTACAATGCAATGAATCCAGACCTGAATCATACACTTTAGTATCAGCAAAAAATTTAACAATGTTGGGTCAAAGACGTCATCAGGGGAAAAATAAATCACATAATCAGTCTGAAGAGTTTCACTTTGTATACACAACCACAAACATCAACTGGTACTGGCTAACCGTAGTAAGTTCAAATTTCCATTCTCCAACATAACTATTTTATACCTTTGCTCCCCACAATCCTCTCTGATCTTACATACACTCCCATTCCAGCCTGTAACACTCAGTTGACATCTATGCTTCGTATGTTGTTGAGAAAATAGAAACTATTCTATGGAACACCTTCCCATCTCATTCCACTACAATACAGAAATCTGTCTTTCTACCTCCATCTAAAAAAACCCTCCACTTGTGCTGAATCCCATACCTGCTTGTCTCCTTCAATTATCTCACTCTCTTCAGCCTCATCATACCCCTAAATTTTCATTCCAGAACAGTCAATTGTTGCCCAATTTCAACATTACTCTCCACAGTACAAGCTCTCATACAAGTTGTCAGTGCTCATAGTCTGTACTTACTTAACTCCAATTTAACCTACTCTAATTCTTTCGACTGCTCTTACTACTCCACTGAAATCCCTATCATCTCCACTGACCTCTCTGTACTACTCTTACTAGGACAATCGGCAACATTTGACAAAGCTAACCACTCCCTCTTTTGGGAAATATCCTCTCTTGGCTTGGTTTTCCTCCTTTGTCAGTAGACAGCTCTTCCCTGCTGCCATCTTTGATAGCTCCTCATGTGACCTTGAAGTATTTTTCTTCAGGAGTCTGCCCTGAGCAGAATGTTCTAACTGCTCTTTTCTTCCTAGGCAATCTCACCAATTCTTAGGCTTTATATATCACATACAAAGTGAGAACCACTTCACACACATTATCTCATGTTCACAATAATCAGGTAAAAATTATTTTTCCTTATTTTACAAATAAGGAAACTGAGGCTCACAGATGATGATTATAAACCTAATGCAGTGGTGGGTGTACTTGGGATTGGCATCTATATATCTAATTCCAAATATGAGTTCTAATCCAATAAGAAAAACATATGAAGAAATATGTCAGTAAATTTTAAAAATGTATCCTAATGATTTAATTTGATTTACATGTAACTAAAGGTTAGTGTGAAAAAAATTACCATTAGTAGAGCAATGCACTTTTATTACCTGTTTATATAATCCTTAAAAAATTTATATATCTTTTATAAACACATTAATATACTAAACCTTTAATACTGGTAAGTATGAGTCTCTTTATTATAACTAATATTTTAAATTTTTCTGATAATTAACAAAATATACATGTTTACAGGAAAGCATTTATGCAACAGAGATTAATATTTTAATTTGTAATCTAGAGTAGAGGCTGGCAAACTACAGCTCACAGGCCAAATCCAACCCACATCCTATTTCTGTAAATGATGTTTTACTGGAGCACAGTCATGTTCATTTGTTAACATATTGTCTATAACAACTTTGGCAATGAAGCAGCAGAGATGAATAGATAGGACAATAAGTACACAGCCTGGGAAGCCTAAATTATTTACTATCTGCTCCTTTACAGAAAAAGTTTACCAACAACTGATCTAGAGTAATCCATTCTGTTCAAATAAAAATATATGAACATAACAGGTTCTAACACATGCTAATTTACAATCAAATCATTTGGAAATCACTTAAGTTCAAACAACATAACCTAGAAAAGAATAAGAGAAACACAAATTGCAAATTAATAAGTACCTACTTAGTTATGTTTTAAAATTGTTCATCTAATATTCTGATACAGATCATTAGTTTATAATTTACACCAAAGACAATTTCTAAGAATCAAAAAACTACATTCCTAGACATCTAAGCAAAATTGAGAAAGGAAGGGGGTGGGTAGGGAATAAGGATACCACAAATGTTAATTTTTTCCTCTGGTTAATTTCTGTGATTGCTTTTCTAATTCCAACATTAGAATTTTTAAACCCTTCCTGTATTATAAACTATATCTTCAATAATGATTTGCCCTGCAGAAAACTGCTGCTATCAGTAAGATAAAGCAAAAAGATTTCTACTACTGTTCTCTACACAGCCTGTGGCACTGAGATGCCACAGAAACGGGGTCTGTTTGCTTGTGTTTTACCGCTTAACACTATATACTGCTTACTCAGTAAAATAATGTCAGGACTAAGTAGCATTAACACTTGGGGCTGAGGTATTATGTCTCAGTACTTATTCGGTAAGGTAGTAAGAGGTTGAAAAACAACTCAGTATCGTCCCAAAATATCTCACTTAACACACTGAAGTTTTATGCCAATTTTCAGTTTTGCTCACGATCCCCATTTTGACGTCCAAATTCCAAACAATGACATGCAGCTGAGTTCTTACTGAAACTTCTCTTTAACTTTGATATATAAGCCTACACTGAGTGACAGCTGTCAAGAAAAGATGCTACTGAAAAGGATCTATTATGTTACTCAGTTCAGGCAAACTGACTTTATGTTTTTGTTTTTAAATGCTGAGCTTTTAAGCCCTGTTACATGACCTTTGCTTTACTGGCATGAGTGTAGGGAAGGCTAGAGAAAAAAAAAAAAAAGATCCACGGTATCAAGTTTTTCCTCTTACCATAACTCTAAACCATCTTCCAGAAGATAAACATGTGGAGGCTGGGAAACATCTGTACTCAGTTGAATAACTGGGAGCAGGAAAGGGTACAGGTTCTTGCTGTCTGCTCCTAATCCCTATAGGAAGTATAAATAAAACTTAACATAAGACACTCTATGGTCCCACCCCCCACCAAAAAAATCACCTATCATATAAAAAAGCCCTAAAACCAACTTATTAAAATAAATCAGATTTTTAAAGAATGGTCCTAATTATAAGCACTACTTACACAAAATTAGTTCAGTTTACAACTGGAAGTCAAATAGTAAAAAATCACTATTCAGTTGCCTAATGGCAATAAAACCATATATACCAAGGCTACATACACCTGTTCATTTTAAGAGATTTCTCATGTAAATATTTATTTTTGCCTCTCTGACAACTGGAGGTATTAACATCAACATATCAAATTTCACAAAGTATCTCACCTAAATAATCTAAAATGAACTCAATCTAAATATTCATCAGTAAGATAATTAAATTACAGTATCTTCATATTCTAGAATACTGAGTAGCCATGAAAAAGGATTAGGTATGGAATAAAAACAATCTCAAAATGACAAACTGGGATTTAAAAGAAGTGTGTATAACAATTCCACATGTCCCATTTTTTAAATAACTATATATCTGATATGAAGATATATGCATAAAAATGTTTCTTAGGAGTAAACAGTAAAAACTGTTAACACTGGTTAAATATGGGTATTGGAAAAGGATGTTGGAAGGGGGTAAAGGAGATTTTTTTAAAAAACTTTTTGTAAGCTTTTTTTAAAAAAATGTGCACATACTACTTATTTAATGAAGAATTTCTGTAAATATTTTTAACGAGCCAAGAATACAAAGATGGAGGAAGAAGAGGGGGTTTTAATCTAAAATTCTGGTTTGCTTAATTACTGTCTTATGGGAATGACTCAAGTGTATCACACTAAGTTTAAGCACTTTGAAAGAAAACAAAACAGTCAATTTGTAATGAAAACTAATCTCTATAATCTGATAAACAAAGAAAGGAAACCAAATAAACTATCCAACACCTCTTCACTTAGAAAGTAATTCAGATGTCAACATAGTTTATAGCAAATTACAATATAACACTATCCATGTGTATTTCCCTTTTGATGACCTATATATGCATATATATACACAGTAAGTTCACTTTTTATCAGCAGGGTATAGATACTTCAGTGGAAGTACATAAAGCTTATCCTTAAATATGTTAAGCTTGGCCCTTTCTATAATTAAACATCAGTTGAAAGACCTTACTAAAGATTTTTCCAAAGGAAGAGATTTATAAATATGTCTCATTTAATAAAGCAGTATATTGTGCCTTAAAATTCAGTTAAATTTCACTCTCCAAAGCTTAATCCATAACAAAACAAAAAAGAAAACCCAGTAAATCTACTTACTCTCTCAGTTACAGTTTGTTATCTAGTGGCCTAAAGAATGAATATGTCCAATCTCAGATATGCAGCTTTAAGTAAATTTGAACATTCTGTCCATAATTAAAACTACAAGACATTGTCTACAATACTATGAAAGCTCAAAAATAAATTCATCACTAATTAATAAAATTATCAGAAATGCTTAAAGGGGGAAATCACATTATACTACATTACATAAAGCATGGAGGGAAATTAGGTGAAGGGTACAAGAGAATCATTCTATACTATCTTTGGAATTGCCTGTGAATCTGTAATTTCTTTTTAAAGTTAAGTGTGAAAAAAAGAAGAATGCAAAAAATTGGCATTTCTCAGGGTATTGTCTTTGGCTCTCATCTCATGTCCCACATACATGCTGATAATGTCCAAATCTATTAACTCCAACCCAAATCTCTGAACTCTAGACACTCCAAATGACTACTGGACATCATCACCAGAAGGTATCTCAAACTCTCCAAAGTCTACCACTCATCGTCTTCCTAAAAAAAGTTCCTCTTCCTGTATTTCCTAACTCAAGCAACATGAGCCATTACCCATCTAGTGATAAACTATATCACAACTACCTCCTGTTTCCTTTTTCTGCTCACCCTATATCTAAACAATTCTTAATTCTATTCTCTCAAATATTTTTCAAATCTTTGCCCTTCTTTCTATGGCTTTGTTTGAGGTCATCATCTCTTCCACAATTAACAGAAAAGCTTCCCAGCTACTTTCCTTGACTTTAGTTTTACCCTATTCCAAACCAGTGTACCCACTGGTGTGCAAAAGACCCTTCTAAAATATAAATGATAACAGTTCTTCCTCAGAACTTTGAGAGATGTCCCTTATACCTTCCAAACCAGGCCCCTACGCCCAAGCTCTATATTCTGTGTGAAGCTATGCCAAACAAGGCCATACTAGAAATCATTATGTTAGTATCTGAGAAAGCTGGCAGATTTATTAACACATTCATTTACTACTGTTCCCTCCCAAGACCCAACAAGAGGATATATGAGGATGTTTTTTAAAAACCTAAACCCATAATTACAAAGATAGCATAAGAAGAGATAAAAGCAACTCATATTTGGAAGTTGGAAAGACAAGCAATAACTGACTTAGCAGACTCAAAACCAAAGCTAAAAGCCAGCAGTGAAAAGGAGCAAGGAACCCCTGATTTATATTAATGAAACTCCAAAAGCCTTAGGAATTGATAGCACTAGGTACTTTGGGAAGGGGAAGTTCAAGAGGATGAATTAAAAATAATAGGACCCCCACCCCATTGACAGATGACTGGATAAAGAAGCTGTGATACAGCCATATAATGGAATACTACTCAGCCATAAAAAGAATAATGTCATTTGCAGCAAAATGGATGGACCTGGAGATCATCATTCTAAGTGAAGTAAGCCAGAGAGAGAAAGAAAATACCATATGATATCACTCATATGTGGAATCTAAAAAAATCTTAAAAAAAAGACACAAATAAACTTATTTATAAAATAGAAATGGATTTACAGACATAGAAAACAAACTTACGTTACCAGAGGGGAAAGAGGGTGGGAAGGGATAAATTAGGAGTTCAAGATTTGCAGATACTAACTACTATATATAAAATATATAAACAAGTTTCTTCTGTATAGCACAGGGAACGACATTCAATATCTTGTGGTAACTTATAATGAAAAAGAATACAAAAAGGAATATATGTATGTAGATGTATGACTGAAACATTATGCTGTACCTTAGAAACTGACACAACATTGTAAACTGACTATACTTCAATAAAAAAATTTTTTAAAAATAATAGGACCTCTAGTGTTTTAAAAGCCATCTGATGACAAGATCTCATCCATGTGTATAGTCAAACTGTCCCTTACTTGAACCACCACAGATCTGGTCATTTATTTCTGGTAATGTAAAACAAATGGTCTCAAGACAGGGAGACATCAGGTAATCAACACCAGGGATACTATATACAACAGGGAGATAGAACATGTAACAGACAGGAGACTAAAGGCTCTTTCACTGAGGAAAGATCTCAAACACATGGAACCAAAACATCTGTTCTGTACAAAACCCAGCTAGATCATCCTAAAGATGCACAATCAGCAAGCTTCCCATACATATTCAACCCTTCCAATTAGCTTTTTAGTGTTCAACTCTTAAATTTATACAAAGTGTTCATATGGTTCTTGAAGTTGAGTGATGGTTACCTAAGGATTCATTCTACTGTTCTTCCTTCTTTTGTGCATGCTTAAAATTTTTACAAGGCAAAAAAAAAAAAAAAAACAGGCAACCAAGGATCAACAGATATGATTAAATATCTAATACAAAAAATAGGAAAAAAACAAACAAATAAAAACAGCACCGCAAAACACACACAGAGATAAAATCTTGGAAAAATATATCACTAACGTTCTTGGTACAATAAAAGAAAACACTGCATTCATGAAAGACAGATGATGTAGATTGATTATTCAATACAAAAACGAACTCACAGAAGGAGGGGTAAGGTAGGGGTATGGGATTAAGAGACAAACTAGTATGTATAAAATAATAAGCAACAGGGATATATTGTACAGCACAAATATAGCCATTATTTTGTAAAAATTTTAAGTGCAGTATAATCTACAAAAACATTGAATCACTATGTTATACACCTGAAACTAGTATGTCATAAATTTAAAATAAATAAAAATATTTTAATTAAAAAAAGAACTCACATTCTGAGCAATAAAGCGGCTGTTCATTTAAAACAAAACTCACAAACATTAAAAGTATTATAGCAGGAAAGAAATACTCAATAGAAAGGCTGAAAGATAAAGCTGAAGAAATCCCCCAGAAAGTAGAGTAAAAAGGCAAAGAGAAGAAAAAGAAGAAATCAACAGTAAAAAAAATACAGGGGAAAATTTTTTCCTTCTTTAATTTTTAGGGAAAATCTAGAATTTTACACCCAAACCACTTACCATTGTGAAAACAGAGTAAAGACATTTTCACACATGAAAAATCTCAAAAAAAAATTTACCTCCCATGCATCTTTTGCAAAATGCCACTGGCATTCACAGGATACATCAGAAAGAGGAAGTAAAACAAGGAAGAAGACAGGTACAGAAAACAGGCGCCCTACAGAATGGACAGGCAAAAGGAATCCTTTTGATGCCAGTGAAAGAGAGTCCAGATGTAACAGCTGTGAACAAGCATACAGTAAAACTAGTGCAGATAAAAGCACATAAGAATCTTCCAGATTTCATGATGATGAAAGTAACAAAATACCTGATGTGTGTGAACACACTGACGGCATGTTTACATAACTGTGTACAGCATGGGTTCAATTACATAGGAAACTAAATGTAACAGGCAGGACTCCAAAATGACTACCTAAGATGATTCTTGACTTGGTGTACACATGCCATTTCCCAGTTGTTCAATCAAACATTAATTTAGGTATTACTTCACAGATGTGATTAAGATCCCAAATCAGATGACTTTAATTAAGATAGGAAAATTATCTAAGTAGGTCTGACCTAATCACATTTGCCTTTTAAAAAGAGAGTTTTCTTTAATCTTTAATGTAAAAAGATACTTGCACTCCAATGTTCATAGCAGCATTATTTACAACAATCAAGACATGGAAGCAACTTCAGTGCCTATTAACAGATAAATGAATAAAAAAGATGTGAGAGACATATATGAAATCTTAATGATTTCAATGAAATATTACTCAGCCATTAAAAAAAGTGAAATAGTGCCATTTGCAGCAACATAGATGGACCCAGAGATTATCATACTTAAGTGAAGTTAAGTCAGAGAAAGACAAATATTATATGATATCACTTATACGTGGAATTTGAAACAGTACAAATGGACTTATTTACAAAACAGAAACGGACTTACAGACATAGAAAACAAATTTATGATTATCAAAGGCAAAGGGGAGGTGGAAGGAGGGATAAATTAGGAGTATGGGATTAAGAGATACACACCACTATATATAAAATAGATAAATAACAAGGATTTACTATTTAGCACAGGGAACTATATCCAATAATAGAAAAGAATCTGAATAAGAATACATATATGTGTGTAAGTAAATACATGTGTGTGTCTATATATATATATAAATAACTGAATCACTGATATACACCTGAAACTAACACAAAATTGTAAATCAACCACAGTTCAATAAAAACAAATAAAGTAAGTTTTAACAAAAAGAGAGTTTTCTTTGACTAATTACATAAAAGAAAGTCAGAGATTCAAAGCCTACAGGAATTTGACACTCAAGAATTTCCCCACCGCTGATGCTGAAGATGGAGGGGGCGATGTATCAAGGAATATGGCCGGACTCTAGGAACTGAGAGGGGCCCCAAGTGACAGCCAGCCAGTAAACTGGGACCCCAGTCCTAATCAAGGAATTGAATTCTGCCAACAAGCTGAGTGCTTATGAAAACAGCCCCCATGGCAGAATTTGGGCTGGTAGGCACCTCAATTTCAGCCTGCCAGACCCTGATCAAAGAGTATAGACATGGTGTGTTGGACCTCTGACCTATAAAATTATCAGTTATTTTGGATTGTTTTAAGCCATTATGTTTATGTTAATTTGTCATGCAGTAATAGAAGACTTATAAACTAAGCAAGAAAATTTTAAGAGTGGCGATTAAGAGGATGGTTGTACAAAAAAGAAAATTAACCATAACATAATGACATAAGTCTTCAGTAGGCTTTATACAGTCACAAAAATAAAGACACTAAATAGTTACCAAAATTTAAATTACAATCTAACTATATTGGGAGAATGGGAGGATAGGCGTCACGTAGAGATGAATGAAAGAATTAAATCTTCATCTTCTGTACAGGGAAGTCAAGAGATAATGCCTACAAAGCTTAAATCAAGAATGAACAATATGAATGAACAATACTTTATTTAGAGTCAGAGAAAAAGTCGAAGAGACAGGGCTATTAAGTGTTGAAAGTAGAGTCTTCCACCAAACAGGAAACGGAGATAATACCACTTTTCATAAAAAGTTTTCAAGAACTGACTCCTTAACTTATCTACATGCAAAACCAATCAATCAATAAATAAACAAACAAAAAGAATCCCATTCTCAGATATCTAGGGGGCTTTATATATGCTGGCCCATTTGTGTAAAACATCTTTACCCCTTTCATTCCTGAATCACCATCTCATTAACACTTCTTGCTTAACACTATCTAAAATCAACACTATTTGGATGCCACCTCTAAAGGAAGTCTTCCCCAACGTCCCACCTCACCCTCAAGTCCAAGACAGATAACCCACCAAGTGCCTCACACCACCACATTTTAACTGCTTAAAAAAGCACTTAACTGCTCAGTCTGTCCCTGGGACTGGGATATTCACAAAGAGCTTGCCCTATTAATTTCTGTATCCCATTGCCTAGTACCTTGTACTGCATATTGCAAGTGTTCAAAAAATGTTTATCAAATGAATGAAAGTCTACTTCCACTAAGGCCAACTACTGCAGATGAGAAAGTTTATTTTCATCCATTATTACCCTCCTCAGTCAGAGATTATCAGTCGGAGCTCCCAGAATTTAGAAAACAAAAACATACAAATACACTAATATCTACCTATTAAATTTTAAAAGTCAAAATGTGGCTTGCACATTAACTATATTTCAATAAGAAAGTAAATAAATAAAAATAAAAGTCAAAAGATGGCAGTATTTTCCATGAAAGGAAATTTACCAATAACCATAGTACAATCTTCTCAAATGACTAAAATGTGACTTTAAGCTACAGTCTCAATTTTAATATTAAATGTTATATGCTTTCTCCAAGAAAGGCAGATGATTACTTAGCTGGAACCTTGCACCCCTGGACTATACAAATACACAGGACACTTGAATGTCATGATTAAAGGAAAAGACCCCACATACTCTAGTCATTCCACACAGGTTACTTTGGCTTCCTAAGATTTCCCGGGGTAACACTACCTAAAGAGACACACTACCCTCCAGAAATCTCAAATTGAATTTAAAAACGCAACGGGCAGAGATATAAGGCAAGAGATGTGGGGATGACTCTTTGTTCTGATATTTACATGAGCCATATCAGGCTAATCACTAAGCTTCTCTTAGCCTTAGTATCTTCATCAACAAAAGGAGTAAAACCTTTCAGGATAATCACAAGAATTAAAGGGTAGACAAGGAGAGACACTATGCCAGATACTTATTAAACAGAAAGTACTTTAAAAAAATTTTTTGTATCACTAGTCGTGCATCTAAAATTGCTTTATACAGTAATTTGTAACTATAAAATTCACCCATAAATATTTACTGAAAGAATGGTTTATGTTTCAAAAAAGGATCAAGGTGACTAAAAAGGGTTTTTTAAAACTGATACTAGAAAGATTTTTTTTAATTTATTAGAACATTTGAGAGTAGTAATTCTCAATTCCAAGAGAGATCTCCCCCTTGGAAGAGCTCTCAAACTTTAGGGCAAGGGCAGTGAAAAAACAGGATGCTTGTGCCTCCCTGCAGCCAGATATTCTAAACCTTAGCCTTAAGTGCTTCCCTCTCCATCCTCTCATCACCAGAATCACTTTTTAACAGTTCAAATGAGAACTGCAGCCCCACCTCTCTCTCTCTCTCTGAAGTTTTAGGTTCCTCTCTACCTGCTGCATATCCCCATACCTCAAAGTCAAGATGTCTAAAATCAAATTTACTCCTTCCCTCAAAAGCAATTTACCTGTTTTTCTGCCTTCCCAATTTTTGAAAGGGACAAGTTTTATTTTAAACCAAAGAAAAAGAATGAAAATGGAGTATAAGTTTATGTAGAAAAGCCCTGGATACCAAGGAAAATGCATGCAAGGTACAACTGCACAAATCACTAATCTACCATCACTGGGGACCACTGCAGCTAATCAAGAAATCATCTTTAAAAAGTAGAATATACTTTTTAGATGTCAAAAAATGTCCACAATAAACATACAAAAGGTGTTTTTAAACTGTTTAGATCACACATGAACGAGACATGTGATGCCTTTTACTACCACTAACATAAATCACATGAAAACAATAAAAAAGTTTAAAGAAAAAAACACTAATAAGAAACTAATAAGGAGGAGTAACGTACCTGAACAAGATGAATAAGTGTTGTCAGAATAGCGCATCTCAGCATATTATGTTCTTCACTCTGCTTCCAAAGAAGAGGCAAATATTGTACCAAACATCCTACGTATGGTCGTATCTATCACAACAGAAGTAGGAGAAGCAAAAGAATCCTATTAGTAAAGAAGGCAACTTACTTCAAGAAATTCTTGGGGAGAGGATATAGCTCAAGTGGTAGAGCGCATACTTAGCATGCATAAGGTCCTGGGTTCAATCCCCAGTATCTCCTGTAAATATAAGTAAGTAAACCCAATTACCTCCCCAACTAAAATAAATGAATAGATAAAAAGTGAAACACACTTGAGAGAGAAAAAAAGAAACTCTGACAGATCTATTAGGTCCCAGGCAGCAAATAATTAATATTTACTGGATGTAAGGTATTAAGTACATATTCTTTTAAAGATAAATCCAACATTAAACAGAGCTCCATGGTAAGTATTTTCAAACAATTTTAAGCAAATACCAAATTTATTGCATGAAATAAAATTCAGGAATATAAAACAACATACTGAGGACAGAGTTTAATAGAAAATGCTGTTATAACCTGATTCTTTTTAACAGCTTACCTAATTGGAAATTACACTGTTTTAAAAAGAGTCAGCATTTACTCATTCATTCAACAGTTATCTAATGGTATCTTCTAAGTAAGAGACCCTGAGGACAAGGCACCAGAAAGAAAAGGAGATAAACATAGACATACAAAGAAAAGGATAAATAAAATGTTGAAGGCGTACACAAGGTATATAGAACTACAGGAGGAGAAAATCCTTTTCAAAGAATAAAACTGCTAATCCCAGTAAGGATTAAGTTAACCAGTTTTAAAAATATACTCTGAAGCACAGCACACTTTGACAGTGAGTTTCCAGAAAATAAAATGGATCTACACTGAAGCTGGACACAATGCTCAAGCTTTAGGCTTATGGTCACAGTATTTGGAATTGATCTAATGAGAGTACCCTTGGTGATAAATCAGAAACACTAAACCTTCACAGCTTCAGTACTATATATTTCAATCCCATGGACTAACATTTAAAAGTGCTCCCAGAAACAGTGCAAGTTTCTTTATTCTGCTTAAAAAACACCATACACTAAAAGGATAGCAAAACAAACAGACAAAAAAAAACAACAAAACCTGCAGGATTTGTTACCTCTGGGTTGGGGGAGGGAGGAGGTGCTGAAAGATAATAAGTTACATATTTGCCCAAATATTTCAGTAAGATAGAACTGAATAAATATTAAGAGACTCTTTAATTATTATATATTACATTGCTTTCAAATTGTGAATATACAATTATAATAGATATTTATCAAGCATTTAATCAAAGATCACTCCAATTGGCTTATAAAAGCAGACCAATTAAAATATAAAAATCCAGGTTTCAAAGCACCTAACTCGTGCATATGCAACTAAAACCAGTATATAACAGCATGTTCTACTGATGAGGAAAATACAACAGTTTTAGTTTTGAACAGATTAGAGAGAATACTTTCTAAGGCATGGCCAAAAGGAAGTATATGGCATGAATTATAGACAGGGTAAGTAATAAAACCAAAGTACCCAATTACAAATGAAAGTCATGAAGTACCTGTATCCCAATTTTAGTCATTAGAATATCTGATGTTCTAAATTAAAATTAATGCTTCAAGAGACACTACTTCAAAAATTACTCACAGATTCACTGCTGCAAAACACCAAAAAAGGGTTGGGGGTTATAAAACAAAGTGATGACAAGAGAGCCAAACACATTCCCTTAGGGTAGGAGAGGTTAAAAAATACATTACTGGGGCAACTGAGGAGATCTGAATATGGACTTGATATTAGAAAACAGTATTGCATCAATGTTAAGTGCCCTGGATCTAATTATGGTTGTGATTAAGAAGGAAAGGTCTAATTTATTGGAGTGAAGTGTCACGGTGTTTCTAACTAAAATTC